CCTGAAGTGATGCAGCAAGGTGTCATTTTGACACGGCTGACTGCGCGAGAATATCCGATGCCACGCTAGCAACGAGGAGGCTGAATCGGATCCGGAAAAGTCGATGTGCTCTGTCGGGGACGGTATCAGAAGTGTCAACTGCACCTTCGAGGCCAGGCGAGCCTGAGAGCGATACACAATTTACTCCCCTTCAAGGAGTTTGATGAGTTGATTAAAAAATGCTCTCTGCGTTCTCGAATCTCCTCGCCGCCTTATCAAGTGCTCAGCGGTACCCTGGGCTGGTTGTAATTGTGTTGAAGTCCGACGTCGCGGGCGAATATGACTCACGAGAGACGCGATGCTTCCGAGACGCGCGAAGAGCGAAGCGAAACCTGTTTCTGGGCCGCAGACAATGCTTTTCCTGAAAATCAAAAATTGATTTCCCCAGACGTCGGCGTCGGACGGTCGACGGGTCAATCGACAGACGGATGCAGGGGCTGATTCCGAATTCTGCGATAACGAGAAGCCGTTTAGCGTTACGCCCCCCTTTTCGTCGCATCGTTTCAGAGAAGAAGTGTCCGAACAATTACCTGTACAACGGCCTTCGACGCCCACGATGGGCGGAATTTTTAGATGTTCGGAATTCTCCTAATACAAACACGATGATTTCTCTCTCGGAACAAGACTCGTTGATTTGAAAAACGACGTCGTGTCGTGTCGGTGATGACGTCTCTATTCTAGTCGGACGTCCATTTCACCTTATACGATCCGAAACAGCTTCACAAATCAATTCCGCCCAACAACATTACAAACGACGCTGGGACAAACCTTCACGCTGATGGAACGGCAATCCCCATTCATTGATAGCGAGAAAAGACATCCCGAAACATTCGTCGCGCGTCTCCAATAAAACGATGTAGCGGTTCCGATTCGACAGTTTACAACTCGTCCCGGAGAATTGTTCCAACCGAAATCTGCGGGTCTGTCGTGCTATCATCATCAGCTCTTTCGGATGCGTTGTTTGGATAATAATTGACTACTCCTCTTTTCAGAATGGATCTCCGTATCGAGAAAAATCGCGGAGAAGAATTTGAGTGCTCTGGAAACGTCATACCGGCTCAGGTTTCGCCGGCGATACGACTGCTCGCGGAATAATCCATGTAATCGATGCTCGATTACATGACGTCCCGCATGATTTTGCAGGTGCAGCCATTGATGTTCGCCCTCCGTGAAATGATCATCTCCCTGGCTCGGAGTCAACATCTAATCAGAAAAATGAATATGAATAAACTAATGAGCTCGCTGAAGGAAAAAAAAATGAGCTTCGTAAAGCGGGCGTGATGACCAGTGTTTACTTCATGGGGGCTGTCCTCGAAGACGACTCCGTCTTCGCTCGGCTCAGGCTGGTCTCCAGTACCGGTTTCGGCGGACTGTCGTCAGGACTCGCTCACACCTCGATGGAAGCAAAAAAAACCTAATTCGTTGTATGAACCGAAGAACAAAGTTTGCTCGTGCGACCCTCTCCAATCATCACCCCGCCCCGTCGCCACCGACTCCTGCTTCCCGCTTTAGCTGTCTCGTCGTCGTCGCTGTCCTCCAGCCGCGCGCCGCCGGCTTTTCCCACATGCGAATCTTCGCATCGCGTCTCCTATTCCGACCGCTAATTTCAGCTGAGATGCATCGGAGTGGAAAATGAGTTTTTGTCTCATATGCCCCTCTCTGACTCGCACCAAGAAGCTGACAGAGAAGAACAAAATAGAGAAAACTTCCTAAATTCTCAGATGACAATATTCGCGCGTCGTTGGGTAGGAACTCCCGGAGCCAAAGATCTGTGAAATTATATGCTTAGGTATGTCTATACGTGTGCCCGATTGGAGACATAGAACCGTAGGAAAATAATCGAGTATTGGAGAGGATCGTCGTCCTGTGTATCGTGTGATCGCCTGCGCTTGGAGCCATATGCGAGCTCCCTTGATGAACTAGGGACTAGAGTGTGAGCTGATACGTACACAATGCTGTTTTTCAGCGGAATTCGGTGTATTCGATTCTTTCTCATGACATTCGGGCGCAGACCGTGATGATAAGCCCGCGACGAAACACTATTCAAGCAATATTCCTGTCTGCTCGATTCGCTCATGCGACGCGTTCCCGCCTGCACAAGGCTCCGGATTGCTTGGACATTTCTGCTGTGTTCACGCGAAGCCACTAAGCGATTCCATTTGGAGCCAGGGCTCCTTCTCGGGACACACGTGTTCATTTGTGAGTTCCTGTCGCGCTTCTTGCTGTCCACCCCGCGTTTAGTTTCATTTCTCGTGTTTGCGGATCCCTGGAGTGTTCACATGGTGCTCAAGGGATCGTCATTGCTTTCTCGCAGTAGGTATCTCGGTCAGACTGTCTGGTTCGAGGAAAACCGTACCATTGGTAGGACCCTCCCCCGGTAGAGATATTCGAATCGAGGAAGAAAGAAATAAGTTCGGGTCCGGAAAAGGACTCGTGACATCTGCCTACCCTCTCCGTGACTTCGGTCGCTGGCTCCGACAAAAATCCTGAAGACGGCTCAGGCCGCACGTCGATAGTATGAATGAATGATAGTGAATGAATTAAGTAGGAGTACGCTCAAGATCTCCATCTCCGAAGACGATTTTCTGATCGATCACCGGAACACTCACGAGTTAAGCCAAAACACCTGTTCACCACATCGCCGGCAATTTTCCTGTCGAGCATTTTCTCGGATTTCTTGAGCTAGGCTGAGGCGTCAGTTTCTGAGTCATTTTCGATATTCTCCCTAGCGATTATTATTCACTGCGATGAGTCTTATCGCGCATCGAGTAGGAGAGAGGCCGAAATCAAATCTCCCTGTTTCTCGCTCGCATCAGACTAGAAAGACCGCACGTGACATCGAATGACCCCGGAGATTGGGGCACGCGCTCTTCGATCAAAACTGCGAATGGGTATTTCTACTTTACACAAGCGTTCCTTAGAGGGTAAGTGGATCCATATAATATCATGCTATCATCTCGCTCTAGTTCCTTCGGAAGAAATCAAACAAATCTGACGTCGGACCTTTATTCAAGTCTTCCTTCGGAAACTGATGGCTTATCCGTCAGCTAAGAACGGTGACTCTCAACGGAGGTTCTCCCCGAGGAGAAAGGAATCATTCGCGAAAAAACCTGAGGCACTAATATTTCAGGCCACGTTTCGAACGTGACGGATGGGAACCTTCGCCCATGTACATTTCCCTCGGAACGATGTGGTTATGGGCAAGATGAAGCAATGCCAATCAAGAAGACATTTTTTGCGAGACGCTGGCAGAGAGATGTTCAATATTCTCTTACTTTCATCCTGAATTTCCGAGGGTGCTGTGACAGGCAGTCAGATAGGCAAGTGAAGCAGGGGAGGCGAAGGAGCAGCAGAGCGAGACACGACAGACAGCGTTCCTGTCTGGAATTCATGAAGTGCCACCGTGAAAAGCTACTGAAAGAAGAGAAGCCGGCTCCGATGGAGTCTACAACTCTGCTCAGATCCTGTGTCTCGGTGAATATGTATCATTCCGCCGTTCGCAATAACTGGCACCACGGAATCCAGGCAGAGGAGAGGATCGTCTCGTCGGAAGGAGGAACCAAGACAGAGAAATAGGAATCGTCTTAGAATCATAACCGGCAAGCGCGGTCTTTTGCTCACAGTAAAAGTGACCTCATGCCAGATCTCACCGCTCCGTCTCATATCCTCCGCACAGTATTCGATGCAGCCATCCAGCAGCCGGCCGGCCGGCTAACTAGCATCAGCATTTTTGCATCATCGATGGTCAAATATGGCTGCGGAAAAAAATCGCAGAAATTACAAAAACCCCCCATAGAGCGTTTTTGTGAACACTTCTGCTTGCACCCTCAGCTTGTTGTCTTGGAGACCTTCTCCGTTCATCGCTCAGACGTTCCCCCGACCAAGCTTCATCGGTGCGAGTGTTGATAGTGGGGATCGTGCCGGCGGGTATAAGGATCTTTGCGTGGCGTTATAAATCATCGGAGAACATAAGATTAGATTCGATCAAAATTCGTCCCGTCGCCTGCGCTCCCGTAAGCTGCAGGCATCTCTCAACGTGAGATCCCGAAGATTCGCGGAAACGTGTTCCACGCAACTCGGATTTTCCCCGAGAGGAATCGGCCCGAACCGCACCGCACGATCAGATTTTCCGGCCTGGGACGACCGAGATCAAAATATGTGCTCAGCGACTTCTCATGGGTATCCTCTGCGGTCGCAAGAAAGGAAGTCAACGAGCTATCGGAAACCATGATCGACCATGCTCAATAATGGGGGATGAACATAACTGACCGGGTTCGTCAGAAGACGATGCTTGAATGCGTCCCCCGTGTAAATTCCGAAATAAAGCCTCTATGACCAGTCTCCAGGCTTCTGGACAGATCTCAGAGTCCATGATCTCACTGCCCTATGGTTTCTGATGCGACACAAGAAAAGCCTCTGGAGCTCAGAACAAAGCACGTGAATCCTCGGGGGTCTCTCTCCCCTCTCTTCATATCGAAGCCACCCGGTCGTGGGGAGCTTGTTAGATGGATGAATCACTTCTCTGCGTTCCGCGACACCTCAGTGGGGGTAAGGCTAACAGATGACTAACGCATACTGGCGCACCCCGAGAATGGTCCGTGCCAGATCAACGGTCGCTGCTTCATCCACTCATTTACTGCATTGTTTGACCTTTTGGATCGGAATACAATCGAGTCGTAGAAAGACCATAGATTGCCCGCCCTAAATCAGGATCTTGCTACGTTGACCCTTGCCTACCCAATGAAAAGACCTGTTTTGAATGCAGTAGAATTTTCCGGTCCTGTTCGGAGCGGAGCTCGCCGCTCCTCGACTGAGCGATGTCGATCGACATCTCCAAAGAACGCGGAGGGCGACTCCTGCCAAGCTCTCTGCTGCGGTGGGTTTCCCGCGCAAAATTCAAACCTCGAGGTTTGAGCAGGCGAGCGCGTCATCATTCCACCAAACAAACAGGACTCAGCGTGAAGCCGGTGTTTAGGCCGCCATCATCGTGAAACTCGGAGGGTGATAATTTGCTTCGATCTCCTCGAATTTACGCCAGTGCCGAGCGAGAATCCACTCGACAATGGTTAAGCCACTCACAGTGTGTGGTCCCTGCCACGGTGATGCCGTAAAGAAGACCGAAAACGCTTCGGAGTGCGAATTATGCCAGCTCAAGGCTCGAAACTCGGAGCTCGAGGCGATAGTGGCGAAAATGGACACCGATCGCCGAGCTTGCGTGATGTTGATCGGCGACACTCAACTCATGAAGCTCAGGAAAGCTCCTCACTACATGAACGAGTATTTCGGCAACAACACTCCGCGAATGCTGGTCCGATGGCAAGTCAACGAGAACATCGAGCGCATGCTGGCGTACCTCCTCGAGAGTTTCAAAGTGAGCCGACCGCATGCGGTTGGATTCCACGTTCTCTGGTTCGGCGGGCTCCACGATACGACTCTCGAAGACTACGACAGGAGTAAGTACCTCGAGAGGCTCAAGGTCGCCTTGAAAACCGTCCACGACGATGCCCGCTCGTTGTCGGTTACCTGGGCCACGCTGCCCGAATCCGCTCACAACGCCGAAGCCGCTCACATCAACGAGGAAATGGTGCGCTGCTCCGCCGACACCGATTGGCTGAAAATTCTTGACCTTCGTTTCGTCTCTCGTCGCGAGGGAACCATGGACGCCAACGAGGCTATTTGGACAACGAAGGGCAGCCAATGCGTGTTCGAGTCTCTGAAGAAATTCTTCGTCGAGAAACTCGAGTACACCGAGGAAGAACTCAGCTCTCTGGAGGAGTCCGCTAAAAAGAACCGCGAGAAACGTCAAAAACGTGAGGCTAAACAAGTGAAGAAAACCCCGGAAGGGGCGGCGGCCGCCGCCACAACAAATGGCGATGGGCCCGCCAAAAATAACGGTACCGAAGCCGCTGCTCCGACCTCTGGGCGAAAGAAGAAGGTCGCTGCACAGAAGACCCCGGAGACCCAAGGGGCCGTTCGAGTCCAGACTCAGAAGGCTGCTATCACAAAGAAATTCCCGGCCGTCGAGATCCGCAATAAGCCGAAGGTTGCGAACCCGAGACGGGCGAAGGCCGTAGCCGTGGTCCCTCAGAGGGCTCCGAGGGGTCAGCAGAAGCAACAGCAGCAGCAGCAGCAACCACAACAACAGCAACAACAACAACAGAAACATCAGCAGAAGCCACAGCAGGTTCAGCAACAGCACCAGCAGGTGCAGCAACAACAAGCTCCTAGAAATCAGGGCAAACGATTCCATAACGCCAGTAATAAGAGATCGTTCCGTCAAGACGGCGGGGGCCAAGCCGGTAACTTCACCGGACAGGCGAACTACGTCGACGCCTGGACAACCGGCGCTGTGAGCTACCAAAACACCTACGGCAACGGTCAAGCCAAACGAGCTCGTAAGCAGAACAACGATGCGGGATATGCAGGAAGTTACTACGATTACGGAAATTACAGTGAAGACATTCAATACTAAGCGATAAAGGAACTCCTACAATGCTGCACACTACGACTTTGGTTTTTACCAGAGCGAACTTGACATTTCCATCCGAGACGGCAACCGAAGCTCCGAGCGCCTCCTCGGGGCCAATCCATTTCATTCACCGTACCGCAATCACCGCAGAGTGTAATCATCGAGCCGTGCTCCTACCGTAGTGTAACAGTGTTTCGGTAAAGATTTCCGAATAGCCATCCACAATCATCCATTTTAGCAGAACTCCGTAATATGTATGTCCGTCGCTTACCGTCATACGACATAGAATTCCATAAGTTCACTTGGGAGAAGAGGACCTCGTCTCCTCGAAGATTTTGTTCTCGTCGCTCAAAGCTACCTTTCGGATTTTGGATTCTTTCGTGAACAACTCGCAGGGCCCATAATTTTTTTCTCCACCTGCTTTGTAGTTTTAAGACCGAGTTCACCAGTGATGGGACTCAAGTCACGAGTTCGCCTCCTGCCGTAAGCCAGGGCGAGACCTCCGAATTTTTTTGTGACACTCTCTTTGTGAATCCCTCAGTCATGATTGACTCATTCTAAGAGCAGAACCGTATCTGAAATCCAATAATTTGTCATGAGTAGCCTTCGCCGAAACCCTAGATAAGTATCTTAAGAAACCTGCGAAGCCTCGACCGCGATTCTCGCTTGCTCTACTTTAAGTGTATACTGTGTACATACACGCATGTACGATTCCGGTATTGGTCTTGAAAATATGTTTCTCGTTCATCCTGTCGTATATCAATAAAGCATACCTTCACTTCGAGCCCGTGAACAGTCAGAACGGATCTTTGATCTTTTCGGGGTAGTAGAAAAATGGTAGGTACCTCTGTAAGTAATTATGCTGGCCGCTCTGTAATGAGACGGTGGCTCGCGCACCGTTCGGATTCGGCGAACTAAGATGATTCGGAAGCGCGATCGGAGCCCTTGGCTTCGATAGAGTTCATTGTGATGCCTCTTGGCAGGTCCTTTTCGATTTCCGGAGCTGCCGCATGCCTCCCGATAACCTGGCTACGCGGGATTCGCTCCAAACTCCTCACTCTGAGATAAAGACGTTGCGAGTTCTGAGGTCGCGGAGACTGTCCTCAAGTACAGCGAGAAGAGATCATTCTGACTGTCCCCGCTCATCAACCACTGACTTCTCATGGAGGTAGTTTTGCGTTAGAGTCCAGAATTACACTTCTCGAATTCGAGTGGGAGACTGCTGGAGAAGCTTCGACTTCCCTTTTCAAGTGCTTGCGCCTCTAGGAGATCCCTTCCGCTCCGAGAAAACTGGCATTGTCGGACGCTGTTCGCTGAGGTGATAGGGAGTGGAATTAATCGATGGTGTGGATTTTAGCCGACTAACGATTCCTTGACGAGTCAGATGATTTCCTGTCTCTGGAGAGAGTTCGATTCGAGGAGGGTACCACTAATTGTAGAATCGAGTTTCAGTCCTATAAGGAGCGTGATTCTATCCTATATTCCTTGTGATAGCGTTGGATCTCGTTTCGTCGGGAGCTAGCGTAAGCCGTTTTGAGACCGCGTGGGAGGGCCAGCTGTTGGTTAGGAGACTCATATTCGGGGCTCGACCGTGTCCACGCAAGTATTGGAGGCGCGGAGCGGGCGAGCGACGCAACGTAATGGAACTATGCGTCGAATGGAGCCCGGCGCGGGGTGGAAGGAAAGCTGACTTCCACCTGGCTCCATCTGTTTTCAGTCGACAGCAACAACGTACAAGTGAGCACGAGTGCAGCCGTGAAAAATGCGCTCGTTAACCCACGACTGAACTGAAGTGGGCAGATAGGCAGCGAGTCGAGAGGGGAAAAGCAGACGGAAGAGGGCTGGGCTGCCCCGGCGAGTGCGCCGTCGGCGTTCGGACCCTATCCCCTCCAGGTGGCGTGTTCCCTACCTGATTCCTAGCGTTCTATCGTCCTAATTCACCCGGCGGGTTCCTGTGCCGCTAATCGCTCCGGACCGAACTTTTTCGAAGTAATACGAATCACAGAAATTAAGATACGGCCCTGTTCGAGCTAATTACAGCGCTCCGGCTAATGATATATAGCGGGAGGGAGACAGGCGGGCGCACAATCACAACAGCAATGGACATCGCCGTCGATGCCCCGGCGCGCTCATTCTTCGATCTTGGAAAATTAGACCGCCCCGTAGCTCCATGCCATGGAAACCCTCGTTCCCCAACTCTCGGACCCGGATCGATCAGTGGGTCCGCATGCGTGGAGTCGGAGTGAATTTTTGGGTCATTGATGCGATGGACCCTCGAGATGTATTCCCTCCGATAAAAATGCTGACAATGAGATTCTCGTAGACTGCCGGGGCTCGAACCCATTTGCGGCGAAAACTTAACCCAGGACAAAATTTCCTCCGGAGCGCATCAGCTCGAGATGTGAATCAACGTCTTCAGCTACCCGGAATCGCGTAAATTCCCAAACAATCGGACGATCCAATCATACAGTCGTCTGGGGAGTTCTTTTTTCCGGCAACACTCCGTCCGCTTCTCGCTGGTCCCGTTCTCACATCTGCGTGCGGATGTTCTCTACCAGGTGTTGTCGAATAATCGCGTTCCGCATTCGCGTCGGTCGAAAGTTATAGGAACGATCGAACATAGATCATCGGGATTTAAGTTCTCATCATTTCCAAATACCGATCCTCATTTCTCGCTCCGCATGCGGATGCGTCAGGGACGCAAACTCAGAAATTTCCAAGATAACGTGTGCGCCTACGACGGCCACGTGCATTATCAATGACGCATTTCCACAGCGGCCATCACGCAAACACATTGGAGGCGCGCACTCGTTCGGCGCGTCGAGACAAACTCCGAGCAGCGATGTACGACGTTCAGTGGTTATTCGGTTTCGCAAGCTCGAATAGTCAAATTGAACCGAAGTGCTCCGACGTCTGGGAGATCCGACCATCCGAGAGATGTTCATTCGTGCGCAGTGTGAAAGACTGCCGTAGCGGCGAAGCGTTTCTGGACTACGTGGAGCTCACGTACTGCAAGTGGGAGTCTTCGACGTTTTTGCCGCTTAGTGCGCTTTTTGTTTTGTGGGGCAGTTTGGTCTACGTTCTGGCGGGGAACTACGTAACGTCTGCATTGGTGCACCTCAAGGAGAGATTTAATATGAACGAAATAAAAGCCGGAGCCACCCTGCTGACTCTCGGAAACGGTCTTCCCGACATTATGGGTGCCGTGACCGCGGTCCAAATCGGCCACGAAGGCCTGCTCGTCGGAGAAGTGTTAGGAGGTACTCTGTTCGTAGTCGGCGTCATCGTCGGCTCGCTATACACTGTCGGCAAGAACGCGCCCCTGGGTCGAGCGTTCTGTCCTATGCTGTGTTTCTTCGTGGCGGCTGTCGTCTTCGTAGGCAGCATCTACCTGTTGGGTAGAGTCACAATTTATCACATCATTGTGGGTCTGGCCCTGTACGTTTCGTACTACGTATACATCTTCAGCATGTCATCACACAAAGAGTGCGAGTACGAGTTGATAGCTGACGAGGTGAGAAAACATAGGCGGCCCTTCGAATATCTCCAAACAGCTGTCTCGGGCATTGATCTGCGATCAATGATTCTATGCTCATTTTTATTCTTAGAACAATTTATCGATATCCATGATGCATTGATTTTATTCTTGTATTTTTCTTCGCTGATCATCATTATCATCCATTTTCCTCGTTCCGTCCTATTATTAATAATTTTCACTTATTTCGCTCCGGAAGCTCACTAATCAAACGGTTCTCTTCTCCTCCCTCGCAGACGTCATTCTACATACCGATCAACGAGAAGTACGCGGACGTCGAATATTCGTCGGACGAGTCGAGTTGTTTGCGGACAGCGTGTTGTTCGTGCATGTCGGTCATTGCGTGTGTTTTGTCAGGCATTCTTTCGCTGCCGTTTACGCTTATGATTCCGACGGTTTGCCACAGCCGGACTTATGCTTCCCGAGTGTGCGATGCGAACCAGTTCCGCTTCTTCATGTTTCCTGTTCTGTTCATGTTCGCCGTCGATATCGCACCGGCAAATAACGCGACGCTGTACATTTCATTGAGCATAGCGAGCGGAGTCTTATATAGGATTGTATGCTGCACTCTGCCAGAAGAAGTTGTAGATACGCTGGTAACTTTTGCCGGCTTCATTCTCAGCTTGTGTTTCCTGCATCAACTCACAGCGGAGCTCATCGCCGTCGTTCGAGCAATGGGTATCTGTTTCAAGCTCACCGACGAAGTAATGGGACTCTCGATATTGACCTACGGGAATTTCCTCGGCGATATATCAACTTACGTAGCCATCGTAAATCGAGGCTGTTTGCAAATGGCGCTTACGGGCTGCATATCGTCGGTGCTCATGAGTTTGCTCCTCAACACGACGCTCGCTTTCTCGATCCGCTTCGCAATGACCGGAGTTTGGTATTCGCCTCTAATGCGATCACCTGTCACGACAATACTTATGGGAAGCGTGATACTGTGCCCGGTGCTCCTACTCTTCTCTGCTCTAACGTTCCGTTGCCATTCCAACGTTTGCAGCGGGGTTGTCCTCCTATGCTATTACGGAATAGTCATGTGTTTACTAGTGATTACGCAGCTGTGATAACTATAATTAATCCCGCCTGGAACTAGCCATCAGGACGATAGAGAATACATAACGACTTTATAAATTCATTGCCCGGACTCCGGGCCTTCGTCCGGACTCTGAAGTCGGATCATGCAACCGGCAGAAGCGCCGAGAGATTCCGACCGCGCTCGAGCCACTCTTGCCCCTTAAGGCGCATACGGTTGAACTCGAGGATGAAGAAGAACGATTTACTTGTATAGGTCCAGCTCCGATTGACGGAGCTCGCGTCGACCATAGATACTCATATATACATATGTAAATTTAAGTGGAATAACGTTGTAAATGGGATTAGGTATATGGTCGGAAAGACGCGAGTCGTTCCGGCACACACATGACGCTCCGGAGAAGGAGATCCGGACGGAATCGTGCGCGCTGAAACAAGAAAAGCAATTTTTGTTTCTCGATTGTTTTGATTTAATGTGTCGATTACGAGCGTTGTCCGGGAGCGGATGGCGTACTCTGAATAGGATCGAGAGAGCTGCGTGCCGTGAATAACGGAGCGTAATCTATTTATCGAGCGGAAGATTCGCAACTTGTACACTTGGCGTCATCCAAAATGACTGTACTTACGGTACGTCACGACGGGAATAGATTCAGGTTTGCATATAAAACACAAATTTTGAAACCGATTGCCTCGTATTTCTCACTCGCATTATGGTCTGCTACTTTTTACCGCACTGACCTATTGTGTCCACTCAGAGACATCTCTCATTTTTCCTTGAGCTTGTAATCAGTCCATCCAGCGATGCGAGACGAAAGGATCGTCCTCGCAGAATCGAGTGCTGATCTCTGCACGGAATCAAAACTCCTCGCAACTTTTCAGCCGCAAGTCCTCTCCTAATTTCTTCATGAGTCATTTCGTATGCAGTCCACTTCCTCGAGCCATATGGCAAGTTCTTTGCGAAGTTTCTCGCACTGAGGTGCTGTAAAAGTAAAGTGGTCACAGCGGTCCCATCGTTTTCTGCCATTCGGAGTTCCTGAGGATGCACCTCTAGCATTCGACGCATTTGGGTCTCCGCGTCGATACTCCGCTGTCGAAATCACTTCGAAGAGCGGAGCTTGACTTCATCTTCCCTACAGTTTCCAATCGGCTGCTCCCGATCTCGCTTCCGCGTCTGCTCACGAGCACACCAGACTACCGTTATCGTCGACGCACTCGAATTGATCCATTCGATCGATTTCATGCGATACCTCTCGTCATCACTCCTCGTTCTGGGATCCAGTCGTGTTTCATGAACCGATAACAAATGCCCTCCATGTGGCTCCGAGGCTCCCCAGCTAAGAATATTTCGCTGACAGAAGTAGGTGTGAGCGGTCTATACGATCTTCAAGGCAGTTATACGAAATGGCCAGCAGTCAGAAATCGACTTATCTGCGCCGGGAGAATTTAGAGCTCCCCGGAGGTTCTCTGCGATGCTCCCCCACATACTCAGCTGTTCGCATTGACCAGCGATGTTTATGGTCAATGCTCATGGCTTATGGCAGTCTCTGTCATTTGAGGCGGAACGCGAGCGCGGCCAAAGTAGTGCCAGCCAACCAGACTGTTCCGAGTGGCTGGCATCGAGCGGGAGATCGAGGAAAAGGAGGAGACGAAGGGAAAGCTTGAAAAGTAGAACGACTGGGAGGAGATCCCAGAGGAGAGATAGGTCAGCCTGCAGTGGAAACGGTCCGAGGGGCGTCGTACATCTTGAATTCACCCTTTTGATTAAAGTAACGAGAGGAAAAGAAAAAATACGGGCGACGACGAAAAAAGTGAGAACGATGAGTGGAACTTTGCATGATTTGTGATCTCGCTGCCGGATGCACCTTGCTCGTTCGTCGGTAGAGGTGGAAGGAAAACACGCCGAAAAAGGGAATCAGGGAGTCAAGAGTATTTCGCACGAAATGAAGAACAGAAACACGACGCCAGGTTGATGGATTAGAATTTTAAGTAGCCTTGATGAATTCTCTTTCTGGAATATGCTCATGAGGAGTTTCACTTTCCGCTGCAGTTTGATGATTAAGCGCATGGGAATCAACGTCTTCCAACATTCAGTCTATACTCTGGAGTGACTTGTGATCACGTGACTTGAATATGAACATCGAGAACATGAGGTCCGGCGGGGGTCGAGCGCAAGTCCGTTTGAGCGAGTAGATTCACGCACGTCCCGCACCCACCACCGTTCAAGTCGTCAGCAGAAACTGAAGTTGGCTCGGGACGGAGGAGCGGTCAGTGCCGCTCCGCGAATGTTTGTCGAGGGGGATCCATGTCGAATACGTTAGTTGGCGAATGAAGAATGAGGGAGGTTGGCCAACAAAAAGAAGAACCCCGCAGCTCCCGGTCAACAGAATATTTGACAGGAGAAAGCGGGGTGAGCTCGGGCACCGAAGATTCCCCGGTCGGCGCGAGATTCCGATCTGGGTCGGCGTACGCTCTGATAAGGTGCCATATTACGGCGTATGTATTTGGATAGGATGGTCGGTCGGAGCAACGTGCGGTGAATTGGCGTAAGGTGGCATCATCTTCGTTTCTTGCGGTCAGCCCGCAGCTCCACTTGCGTTTCTATTGTGCAATCGCAGCAGAGGGTCCATGTCGAGTCAGCAAACGGCATTCACTTCGACTGTCGCAGATAGCAATGTAGGTGTGAGCGACGGTGCTTTCGCGCCTACGTAGCCCGATTCTGTGCTGTTGACGACGACGACAACAACAACAACCACAATTGACGCTACTAGTATAGAGCTCGAGTGGGTGCTGGTGTGGATTCAGGCCCTTTCGGCATGAGCTGCGGAGCCGGCGAGCAGCGGGCTGGGTCGGGCGAACAGCTTTCGCTCACTCAGCAAGTACTGAGTTCTTCGTAGTCGGTGGACTGGATGCTCGGTGCGGGCGGCCAGTTTGCCAAGCGGAGAGGCAACTTCTTCGCGCGGCTGAGAAAGCTGAGAAGATGCAGTCAACTGGATCCCGTAGATTTGCTCCATCTCTTCTTCTCCTCGTCCGTTTTCGTTGCCTGGGTCGTTCAGAGCGGACCGACGGTTTCAGGTTCCCGAGCGAGAGTTATTTTTCCCCCAGAGTTTTCTCTCCACGCGGACGCACATCGATGATCGGGAGGGAGCTCCAATTGAGGCGACATGGAAAAAGAAGACAAGTCAACATATTGTCGCAGTTTGACATCGATCGCGTGTTGTTCCGTCTGAACGACGCGAAAGAAAACAAAAACCGAAAGGACTCGGGTTACATTCCAAAGACGATTCTGTCACAGGTCCTCGCCGTCGATCCAATCATTGAGCCGATCGGTTACCCACTATGAGCATGGATTTCCGAAAGCGAATCCGAATGCCCGCTCTGTCTCGCACGGAAAGCTGTCTCCGCACTGAGTTCTCACTTCCAGGATCAAACCGGAACAGGACACACGTGGCGAAAAAACGGAAGCAAGCTTGTTTGCGGGAGGTTCCGCGCCAGTCTGCCTTCGATTTATTTCATTGATGAACGCATATATTCAAACTAGCGATACGAATTCGGCGAGATCATCGTTCTCAAGAGTATCACGATTTCTTTGGAGATGCCGACGTCAATCGATAGAATCAGAGATTTCATCCGGGTATTTTCCCCGCTTTTGAATACATTCCGTCAGAAATAGGATCGTATTCCAATGTTTCGGCCTCGTGATCCTCCTAGTCTACGGTGGAGCGAAGTCCCATTTCTCGATGTTTAGGAGAAATTCGAGAAAATCGATCGTGAACACACCCGAGATGCATGCCTGAGCGAGGAGTGTGTTTTTGTGGGTAAGTCAATTCTGTCGGATCTGAAAATATTGGTCCCTCATCTCAGCGCGCTCGGAGAACCGTGTCTGAGTGTCGTTTCAGGAACGATTTCCGACAGTACCCCGGCAGAGTGCGCCTCTCTGAGATGCTTGATACTCTCATCCATGAGCTCCGATTTCACGGCTTTCTCGGTATGGCGATTCCTGCTTTCGCTCAACGGAAGCGGAGGCTCGGCTTTTGTTGCCGCCGCATCCACCACAGATGCAGTACAACGATAGTATTTACCTCGAGCGCGAAAGCCCGGTCGTTGGAGACAATCTATTCAGAAGCTGGAAACGTCGAGAGAAAAACGGGAATGGCTGGCGGACGATGAGTTTCTCGCGAAGGGAAGTCGACTGGATCATTCCTGCCAGAGATGTTCAGAGGTCGAACCTCTCCACTTACGTCAAAGGCCACCTCCGCGCTTGCCTTTCCGCTGGGATTGAATGTGACCGGACTAGAATTTCCGTAACTTCCGGTGAAACCGTCGATCGAGACCCGATAGCTGCGATCGATCCGCTCATAATACGATCGATGCCGACCAGGAACGCTCGAAATAATGACCGGAGTCCAATCGTGAGTCGCCAAAGAATAAAGTTCCGGCTGGAGCGAAGCAGTCGGATATTTTCTGCCTGGAGGAACCATAGCAGACTCCGTGGCTCTCGGTATGGAGTTCGGCACTCGACGCGACGAACATCCTGTCCTTTCGGAATCGTCTCTCGACATTATTGGATGTGTGAGACCATTCAATGACCTTACACAGGTCCGGAGTCCGGATCGTGGCTCAGATGTTTGTTGCTCAATCCCCGGAAATGATTTCAAAGTTTGTTCACATACGTCAGAGTCCTATAACAATGCTAGGGTCTTGTCGGAGGTCTATCGCAGCTCTGATTCAGAGCGGAAACGAGAAATAGCCATTCTCCGGGCAGCCATCGAGGAACAGCCGAGAGATCCAAGTTTGGAAATTCCCTCATAAAAAACCTTTAATTTACTTCTCTCCCTTCGGAGACAGCTCTCAGCTACGAAGACCGCTTCGCAGCATTTTGCGAGGGCATTTTTAAGCCTGTCCTGATTTCTAGATCAGGCCAAAGTCCTTCCCATAGTTCCGAGTACAGCAAGTCCCTCTGGGAAGCGAGGGGAAACCCTTGGATGAAGGCTCCGAGGGATGACCACCCATGTCGTGTACAGCGTGGAACTTGAATGGGAGAAAGCCGAACGAGGTGTCAGGGATTATCTCCCGAAAGTCTCGTCGAGAAATCACAACTCGGTCGGTCACCGCCGAACGAAGGCCCCAGAGCGAAAATTCGCTGGTGTTGAGCTCTCACCCATGGTCGTTTTTTGCCCAGCCCTGCCGCCCCATCGGGAGAAGCGAGTGTTTTCTTCCTCCGACCGAGAGAGACATTTCGCGTCCGGCAGAGTTGTTGTTCCTCGACGTCGGAGCCGGAGCCTGTCTGCCCTGGTTCCTCTGACAACGTTGGTGTTTTGCTCTCTTTCTGTGTTCCCCTCGAGCTCTACGGGTCGGCTGGCAGCTTCTCCTATCCTACAGGCCGAGATTAAAAGTTTTTGCAACTCCTGAACGACGTTGTCTTGTGAGAGTGGTGTCCGTCAGTCCTTTTCTCGGTTCCTTCCTTCGTTCATTCGTTCGTTCGTCCGTCCGTCCATCGGCTGGCCCGCTGTGAGTCCGCCGCCCGCTCGACGTTCTTGGACGACTGTGGCGCCCCTCGCGGACTCGAGAGATTTTGGGAGGATGGTGTGCCCCATTAGATCCATCCGCTCGGGACGTCAATGCGAGCCG